CATGTTCTGCTGTCATTTCAGATATCTGAAGTTGAAATGTGTTTCCATTGGTGAATGTTTTTGCTAGTGATGTGATTTGATCTGCTTTAAAAATATGTCCGGACTACTGACAATGACAAGGTCTGCTTCTCTGTATCCAACACAGCGACCCTTTCATGAGCGATGGAAAATGATTGACAGAGAGGTGATTGACCCTCGGAAACAAGAACGTCAAAATATTTACCAAAGTAGAAATCCATTTTACAGATATGAATTGGAACCCTTTAGAGTAAGTTTTTAATGAGCTCTCAGCTGGTAAGCATTTGCATTTTTACGTTCTCTTGTTGAATGGTTACTGATCTCCAAAAGCTTTGCCAGGTTAGAAGGAAAGATTTTTGGCTCCTCTCTACTGTCACTAGACTTTTGAAAGACTTCATTCCAAAGCTTTCACATGCAGCAGATGGTCTCATTTTTCAGGTTGTTCACATTCTGAAATCCTTTTCTCTTTTCTCGTGGGTTTTGATGCCTGATTTATCAAAAAAAAAATTGTGGCTGAGAAGTGTTCTCTTGTAAAAAGTTATCATTTTTACAATCCCTCAAAACTTGATTTTGTCTCATGGTCTATAAAATTTATTCTCTTTCTAATTGTTTTGCCTACCAAAACAGGGTTGGGATGATCCTTACGTTACGAGGACTCATGAGGGTCTCTTGAAGTGGAAATACCCTGAGATGAACTCTGTTGATTTCCTCTTTGAGGTTTTATTCCTTGCCCACATGTCCAAATTCTAATATGACATAGTTGTGTTCGGTTCTGTATCATTGTTTCTTTTATCTCTCTGGCTGACAGGTGATTGATAGTAGAGAGCTGCTTTATTTAAATGAACGGGGAAAGAAGAAACTGATGGACGGGAATAGGGTTGTATTCCCAGGTTAGATATATCTTCTTCTTTGTCTTTCTATACTGTGATATGAAGCCCTCTCAGCACATTGTGGGTGGGGGGACAACTCACTACTCTCTGTCCATTGAGTCAAACAAATAAAGCCCATAAGATCTTCTTCAATCATGAACCCTACTTATATTTCTAAGTTAATTTGGTGGATTAACTAAATTTGTCACATGTAACATGCATTTGCTTTTTCGAAAGTTGCATGATAAATAGATTCAGTTCTCATATGTTACTGTTTCTTTTATAACATTCATTGTGGATATGCTTCTTCTTGGATTGGATGAGGGTATGGCTTTGGAGAGAGCAAAATGGAGGGCGGGTATTCGTGTGGAGGAGTGATCTTGTATCATCTTTTCCCCTCTTTTTATATATATATATATTTTTATCCTTATATATAAATATTATTTTATCCTTTGTATTTTATCTTTTATATGTATATTCATCTCTTTTATATTATCTTTTTTTTTATAATAGCTTATCTTTTTTATCTTTATTTTCTTTCTTTTCCTTTTGGTGATATCATGTATCGATTCATGTTAGCCGACCCCAATATCGTTTGGGACTACGGCTTGGATGTTGTTGCTGTTGTTGTTGTTTGTTGTTGCTTCATTAATTTCTTTTCATTTTCTTTTGCCTGTGTTTTCTCAAATTAATCCCTTTTAAATGTTACAGATTCTTCAGATCCATCAGAGCTCTCCGGTAAAATCATTGAATGCTCCTGGGATTCTGATAATCAAGTGTGGGTGTGCATGAGGGTAAGAGTAGATAAAGGAACGCCAAATGAATTCAATACATATCGGAAGGTACGTCTTAAATGAATCCATATATATTTTTGTATTCCATCGTTTGCAAGAATTTATATGATAATAAGTTGATAGTCTACAGAAGCAGCAGTAGCTATAACTTCAGAGCCTGTTTGTCAAAATTAACAGGCAGAAGTTGCTGAAGTTCCGGCTTGAAATATAAAAAATATTTTATCAATAAAGAAAAAGGAATATGGAAAAGCTACAATGGTACTCTTCAGCCAATTCAGCCAAAATGATTTCCAACCTTTTCATTATTAATCAATTGAGTGCGTAAAAGAAAAAAATCAGTGGGAAAATCTGGCTGGTAATTAAAAAACATGGTTACCAAACTGAGCATTGAAGCTTGGATCTTTTTTAATAATTATCTTGTGAATGAATCAAACCCAGGTGATGAGAAGTATCAAAGACAATATCACGGAGGACGTGTTGTTGGGTGAAATCCATGATATCATTCGGTTGCCAATGTATGCAGATAGGATCGACTCTGAAAGCAAACCTCACCAGCATTCTTCAAGTTCATCTCGCCGAAGGGGCTGTCATTAAGTTGGAGGCAGTAGTAACTAATAGCTAGATACATTTCACATTTAGAGCTTCCATTTGTTGCTGCTTATTATTAATGAATGGTGTGGTCTAGGAATACACGTGAGTGGCCCTGCAGTATTTTAGCTTATGTAGTCTATACATTACAAACTGCAGGGGTTAGAAATAGAATCTCATGTACATTAGTTGCTGCATACGTTAGTCATTTGGTAAATTGTCAAAAGGGTCTAGTAAAATTCAGCATCACTTTGCTTGTGAATATGATCTCCAAAAATCAGCTCTAGCCATTCTACTCTAATACTTTTTTACACATTTGCTAAATTTTGGATTCGTCTTTCACTTGTACTGTTATCTTAATTGTCAACAATGCCAGACTCTCAGAACTATTCATGTTTTCCATCAACTGATCAACCCCTTAACTAACTTAATGAAGGGATCCCTGAGTTAGAGACTGTATAACCAAGCCCATGTGAAAGCTACAAGGCTAGATTGGTTGTGAAGGGACTCGAGCAACGTAATGGTATCGATTACATTGACATATTCTCTCCTGTTGTGAAACTAACTACTATTCGGGCCGTGACTATTGGGTCCTTTTATATATGGGCCGCAAGTTCTTTTATGTTGGGGTTAAGTTTTGTTCTCTCTATATATACATATTCTCTCTTTGTAACCATCATCAGAAAATAATAGTAACATCCTGGCTTGGTAGCGCCCTAGACGTAGTCATTCTTGGCGAATTGGGTCACCAAATTCTTGTGTCTTTCTTATTGTCTTTCGTATTGTGATTGTTTAAATTGTAAACTCTCATATATGGAGTCATATATGGCTCTAGGGGTGGGCGCGGTCCGGTATTTGACAAAACCCGTACCCGGACCGTTACTATTGAAACGGTTCGGTTCGTTTCGGTTTTAGACCTAAACCCGTTCGGTACGGTTCCAATTTCAAACGGTACGGTACCATGCCATATCAATACCAAACAATGCCACTTTTTTCGACAAAATAAAGTTTAGTCATAATCCAAAAATCCACACAAATTTTCGACAAATGCAAGACTTTTGGGCAAGCGGGTTTGAGTCGGCAAACCGTTTGACTTTTGAGTATTTTTTAGATGGACTAAACATATAAATACGGAGTAAGAAGTAAGACAAATTGGGCTGGACTTCACCCTATGAAGATCTTCCCCCGTAGACACATACAACGAATTAGTAACTATTATAAATGTATGCAAAGTGGCAACGTGTAAACTGGAAGGAGTCATCAAATTCTATACATATACAATAATTATAAATAATTCATTATATAAATACTACTCCCTCCGTCCCGAAAACAACTTCCCGGTTGGACTTTCACACACTTTTAGGAAATAAATTTGACTTTACTGTAGAATGCACTGTTTTGCACTGTTTAAACACTGTTTGGCACTGTTTAAACACTGTTTGGCACTGTTTATCACTATTTTAATGTAGATAATTTGCCAAATAAGGAAAGTATTGAAGTGTGAAGTTAATTTTGGGACATCCATTTAAGGAAAGTGGGAAGTTGTTTTCGGGACGGAGGGAGTAATTCGGCCCGGTACTGGTTCTCATTTTACGAGAACCGGTCATGGCATGGTTTGGAACCGGTACGGTCCGGTTCGGGACAAAAATTTTGAGAACCATTTGGAACCCCGTTATTCGGTACGGTACCATATTGGCCCGGTTCGGTAGCATGCCGGTTCGGTATTTTTGCCCGCCCCTATATGGCTCCATTGAAATTCTACTTTGGGTGCTTAATTTTAATGATGAAACCTGTACAGGTTTAATTAAAAGCGTTGACATCAGTCTTACCATAGTTTACCAACTTTATTGGTTTCTAAACTTTTTGTCATGCTTTATTTTGAATAACTGCTCTATGATTGATATTATTTACTTCTTTTTTGAGTAAATTTCAACCAAATTGTTTCTATATTTTATTATGTGGCAATCAATGTTCTTTTGTATGTTTTACGATATAGAAAATGCTGCCAAAATGATCTTGCACGCTTTTAATGTTTTAGTACCTTAGTTTTAGTAAATTGAAGTATATTACTCCGTTCTACATTCTACATCCTCACCTTGAATGTTTTGTCCCTCGTTATGGCTTTGAGGTCCTCATCGTCTCCACAACTTGCTTTAGCTTATCTAATAGCTAGGCCTTTAGGAGCGGGTTCTGTATTTTTGGTTCGGTTTTGAGGCAAAATCAAATACGGGATCAAAGTAAAACGTTCAGTTCAATTTCAAATTTCATAACTTGAAACTATGCGTTGATTAGTTTGGTTTATCTTGGTTCGGTTTCGCTTTTTTTTGTATTTTTATTAAAAAATTTCATTTGATTTAAAATGATAGGATAGTTGAGAGATCAAACATATTACATTAAAAATGCAAGCATGCTAGAACAAATATAAAAAAAAGAGAAGGAAAAAATATATCTTGAATAGTATGAATATGTGTGAGAAAAAATATACTCTTTTCAGTTTTTTTTTGAACAAAGTGTATATATTCTTATTTTACATTTTTGTAACTAGTTTGATAAAAGTTCATGAAAATGTACATTTTAAGTGGTATAGTTGAGATGAATATTTATTTATTTTGTGAATATATAAAAATTTTAGGTTACATAAAAACAAAACTACTAGTAATCAATAACAAAAATATATTACCATCATGCAAAAGATAATACGGAGTAACAAATACCCACAGAGAAGATCCAATTGCTCTTGCCTGCGAATGTCCTAATCCTCACCAGTCACCACACTTGACAGCCTAAAAAATACTCCGTAGTCAAAATCCCAGGGAGATAGTAGGCCGTCCAAACCAACTCAACCGGGAAAGTCCTCGCCGGAGGCGGTTGGTTTGAGTGAATTCAACAGCTCATTGGTTATTTCCTTCTTGATGAAGGCAAAAATTAGCAAAACGAGTATCACGTGCGCGTATAGAAATAATTCGGATTATATATTACGTACGCGGACCTCATATCTTCTGCTCAAAGCTGACTTTTTTTTATTTCATTATTAAGATCGAGCGCTCAATCATGGAGGAGCCACTACTATCAGGTATCCCAGGCTGCACATTAAAAATTGTTTTCTCCCTTTGAATTTCAGTTTCCTGTTTTATCCACCGGATGATGCTGTCTTTGATGTTGTGCATTTTTGTCCGGAATAGCAAAAGCGGAAAACCTAAGTGGGCAGAGAGACTGGGAACGATGGAGTTCATCGTCTGCTTATGTGGGAAGAACAATTCCGACAGCTCCTTTGGTCGGAACCGAAGTCAGCGTAGATGAGATTCGATCTGCCGCCGCAGCAGCAACTGCTGCTTCCATTTCCTACCCTCCTATACCTCATTCTCCTCCCTTGCCCAGCTTTCCCCAATCCCATCACTTTGGTAATTATTCATTCTCACTTTGGCCGTAAACTTATTACTGCATTCACTTCTTTTATTCCTAATTGAACAAGTTTTCACTCCCCAATTGAATAAGTTTTATGCTATTTAGAACCAAATGACTATGATTTTGGGAATAAAATATAGCTACTCCTATTGGTGTACCCTGTTTATGTTTTACTCCTACTTGAAACAATTCCTTTTTTTAGTCTTTGGGGACTATGAACAGGGGAAAATGAATTTTCCTACTTTATGAATCATCTACCATAGTTCATCATTAATGGTTCAATGTAAGATACACAAGATTAGTATTGACTACACCACCGCCTAGGGTCTTACACGTGAACTTGTATCTTTATGCTTACTTAGTGGCTTAACATAGGGAATAGGTGTGCACGTCGGACGGGTTGGGCAGTCATTAAGCAAGCATATCCCTATCCCCTAGGGTGAGCAAGGACCGCCTAGGGATGCACGTCAGACGGGTTGGGCAATACATAAAAAATCTTTATGCACAAGGACCGCCTAGGGTGTATATAGGTAAATACATGGGCCCGATCAAGTACTTATGGGCTTGGGCTAAGGGAGGAGTAGTGTATATTTATGCATTACATTACACCCCCCCTTAAATATACACTACTAAAGAATATATAAGGAGTACAAAAAAAATACGTTTAAGGGAAGCTGCCTCATTAAAAACCTTGCCAAGGAAAACCCTGCGGGACAAAACCTTGGCAAGGAAAAAATAGTACATCACATATTTACTCCTGTAATGAATATATCACTCAAGATCCTTGCGTTGACGTAATCCAGTAAGGTGCACTAACTTCTTGAAGATTGTCGTTTAAAGAGCTTTGGTGAATAAATCCGCAACATTGTCACTTGAACGAATTTGTTGAACAACAATCTCACCTTGTTTCTGGATGTCACGTGTATACCAAAATTTTGGTGAAATATGTTTTGTCCTATCTCCCTTGATGAATCCTTCCTTGAGTTGGTGGATACAAGCTGCATTATCTTCAAATAAGATGGTCAGAGGTTCCTTTTCAGACCATAATCCACATGACCGTCTAATACGCCGAATTACACTTCTCAAGTACACATTTTTAACTGGATTCATGAATGGCTAATAGCTCCGCATTATTTGATGATGTTGCCGCAATTGATTGTTTCATGGAACGTCTCGAAACTGTTGTTCCTCCACATGTAAACACATATCCAGTCTGTGATCTCCCTTTATGGGGATCAGACAAATAACTTGCATCTGCAAAACCAATCAATTCTGTTTTGGACACGTTAGGAAATAATAGACCCATGTCTTTTGTACCTTAAAGGTAACGAAGTATTTAATTGACCCCATTCAAATGTCTCCGCGTTGGAGAAGAACTATATCTTGCCAATAAATGTACAGCAAAGGATATATTGGGTCTAGTGTGACTTGCAAGATACATTAGTGCTCCAATTGCACTTAGGTATGGTACTTCTGGACCAAGAATATCCTCATTATCTCCACGCGGTCTAAATGGGTCCTTATCAACTTCAAGTTGTCTTACAACCATTGGGGTGCTTAAAGGATGTGCCTTATCCATTAAAAATCTTCTTAGCACCTTCTCTATATAGGTTGTTTGATGCACAAGGATACCATTATTTAAATGGTCAATTGTAGACCAAGGCAGTATTTGGTCTTTCCAAGATCCTTCATTTCGAATTCCCTTTTCAAACATTCAACTGCCTTTTGTAGTTGTTTAGGAGTTCCGATTATATTTAAATCATCAACATATACTGTAATGAACCAAATAATTGAGCTATTAATCTCGCAAATACTAGGTTGCGAGTCGATAATAAGCATACATTAAAACCATGAAATACCTAAATGGTCCACGTGGTGGATCAATTGGTCCACATATATCACCTTGAATACATTCTTAAAAGGGAAGTGATTCCATTCCAATTTTAGTAGGTGAGGGTCTAGTGATTAATTTTCCTTGAGAGCAAGCAACACAAGACAACTCATTAGTTTGAAGAATCTTCTGGTTCTTGAGTGGATGTCCACATGAGCTATTAATAATTCTCACATCATTGTTGATTCATAAACTTTTGGTTTATGGTCATATACGATTCAATTATACTCCCTCCGTCCCAAAATTAACTTCCTGTTCGGTTTACGATGCTTGACTGACGATAAAGCAACTCGATCCCTGCTCACACTCGGATTATTTTTAGTAAATAAAATTTACATATTCAGAAACTACATTAAAACCGCTACAAAGCCTGATCAATAAAATTTAAATTTGATAAAAATTTGATATAAAAAGTAAAAGATTACGAGTGATTCAAGTTGACCAATGAATAGTGAATGGGAAGTTGTTTTTGGGACAGAGGGAGTACTAATTTTGGTTTAGTACAGGCCAGATGAAAATGCAAGCAATTTCTCTAACACTCTTTTAATACCAGAAGTTTTATTAATTATGCTGAGATATTCAGTATCTCCTTTGGTCGTCTCAATATGATACCCATTTACAATCATCGGTTGAATATGTCGCTAGAGGGATTCATCGGGCTCCTGTTGACATCTTCATCGATGGTTTGCTGCTCTGCTTGCCATCAGTTGCCGGATCGCCACACACACAAGCCCTTGCTGTGCACACAGCCCTAGTCCGATTTTCAAGAGATAGTGATCGATTTCCAGAAGCTATTCATCCAGGTATTTCCCGTTTCTTCCTTGCCTGATTCGATCATATGTCCTAAATAAACATCGATCGTTCTTCTTGTTGTTATTACAAAATCTGCTCTTGTCTGATTCTTGTTGTTGTTTTAACAAATATTTGGTTACAATTGTTGTTGTTATTACAATTGGTTAAATAAACACAATTGTTATTCTTTAATGCTCTACTTCCTCCATGGTGGAAATCGGGAAAATACTTCATTCTGACATTATCAAGTGTTATTGTTTAATTTGATGTTAAGTCTGAGAATTAGATTTGTCTTTTTCTGTTGTAGACCACGTGGTTATAGAATTCTATATAGGTCATAACATTAAGCATGATTTTCTTTTTCTTGATAAGCTGCTAGTTGCTCCATATGTGATCCTTATTTTTGCCGCATTAGTTCGATCAACGTCACACGCTCCTCTGTTTTTAGATCAGCCATATTTCCTTGAAGAATTGGGAGAAAGAAGAATTAAGCGCAACTATGTAAGCATTGCTTGAATGCAAACTAGGTGTAGTCTGATTGAAATGTGTACATCGAAGCCTATTCTGTTTTAAACCTTGTCTATTCTATTAATTTGGATGAGTACAACTTTAGACAAAACTAATTTATGGATTAATTTAGACAACAATTCTGACGAGAACAAAGGGTTAAATGTGACTATTTGAAATTTTGAGTTTTTTCGTTCTTCTTGAATCTTCCACGACACAACACTTGAACTTTTAGTGCATTGATTGGGTCTCTATTGTCAACATTATTAACCGTAGTTATATCACTTATTATATGACATAACCTTTGAGCTTTATGTTTGGTTGATTCTCGTAATACTATTATTGGAAACCCATAGCGAAAAGTAAAAAAGAGAGATTTATGAGCATTTTTCCAAATACAGATTACCCACAAGGCCCAAGAGTAAAGTCAGTTAGCCACGAATCAACTAAAGTCATTGCTTAAAGTCTGTTTAAATGTTTTTTGTTCGAGAGTAAAGTCTGTTTAATTTTTTTTCAAGAGTAAAGTTTGTTTAAATATTGACATTAAATATGTATTAAAGTCTATTTGTGCAAATATTTAAAGAAAAACCAGTATTGTCTTTCAAAATGTGCTTAAAATAAACTGTATTTTAGTTAAATACAAAATTTAATACATTTAATAGTCAATATCGGTTACAAAAGGACACTTATTTATTCACTTAATGACATTGATTAAATTTCATTAGTGTCTAATATCAGTAAAAAAAATTAAATTCAAATGTTTTGATTGTATCTTTAAGTGATAGACGCCTAACAACATTAAAGTTTTCTTTAAGCAATTTTATTAATTGCATGATTTCATTATATCTTATGTGACAAATAAAATAATATTATTTTCTTTTCTAGTTATCCCTATGTCAAACCTTGCAAAACTTGAATTCGCCGCACTGAACATCAGCGGAAAAAACTATTTGTCATGGGTACTAGATGTTGAAATTTACCTAGATGTCAAAAGATTAGATGATACCATAAAAATTGGTAATACCGCATTAAAAAAAACAAAGCCAAAACTATGATTTTTCTGAGACACCACCCCCATGAAGATCTAAAGTCTGAATATTTAAGTGAGAGAGACCCCCTAGAAGTATGGGAAAACCTTGAACAAAGTTATGACCATCAGAAAAAATCATACTCCCTGAGACTCGTTATGAATGGACCCATTTAAGATCGCAAGAAACTAAGTCTGTGTTTGGTTATAATCAAGCAATGTATAGAATTACGTCTTAGTTAAGGCTATGTGGAGAGAAAATAACTGACGATGAAATGCTTGAGAAAACATACTCCACTTTTCATCCATCAAAAAGTGTTCTGTCCCGACAGCACAGGGCAAGGGGGTATACCAAATATTTTAACTTGATGAATCAATTATTTGCTGCTGAGAAAAATAATGAGTTGATTTTGAAGAATCATCACATTCACCTTACTGGTTCTATCCCTACACCATTCCCTGAAGCGAATGCGGTGACTAATAATTTTAATAATAACAACAAGAAGGAAAGAAATCACACTAGCAGTCGTGACCGGGGGGCATGGGAGAGGTCGCGGTAGGGGGAGTTACCGTAGCAATCATGGACATTGGGTTGGTCACACTCATCGGGATAGTCATGATTATAGAGGTGGTCAGATCACTCACTTCAAGAGCTCATCTCGCCACCAAAAGTGGCAAAAAAATGAGAATTATTGTAAGTGTGGTTCTGAAAAGACGGAGAATACATGTTTTCGATGTGGAGCAAGAAATCATTGGCCGCGTACGTGTGATTGAAGAAAATCAAGGAGGTCATCATCATCAAAGGCAAAATTTGTCTCAACCTTGTGCTCTTTATTCTTAAACGACTGCTGATAGAGCTCCACTAGATGCTTGGGCGTACGACAGGTACGCGACTAATGATTTCTTGTTCCACATCGAAAACCTGTATTCTCCGTCTTTTCAGAACCACCCTTACCATAATTCTCATTTTTCTGCCACTTCTGGTGGCGAGATGGTCCCTTGAAGTGAGTGACCCGACCACCTCTATAATCACGAGTATCCCGATGAGTGTGACCAACCCGATGTCTATGATTGCCACGGTAACTCCCCTTACCGCGACCTCATCCATGCCCCCAACCACGACCGCTGGTGTGGCTTCTTTCCTTCTTATTGTTATTATTATTCTTTCCTTTTTATTGTTATTATTATTAGTCATCGCATTCGCTTCAGGGAATGACGGTGGGGTAGAACTAGTGGGGCGAGTTTGATGATTCTTCAGGATCAACTCATTATTTTTCTGAGCAGCAAGTAATTGATTCATCAAGTCAAAATATTTTGTACAGAACACTGTTTGATGGATGAAAATGGAATATGTTTTCTCACGCATTTCATCGTTAGTTATTTTCTCTCCACATAGCCTTAGCTGAGAAGTAACTCGCTGAATTATAATCAACCACAAAGTTAAAGTCCTGCAACCTTAAATGGGTCCATTCATAACGGGCCGCAAAGAGTATGATTGTTTTCTGATGGTCATCCCTATGTTTAAGGTTTTCCCATAGTTCTAGACAGTCTCTTTCAGTTAAATATTCAGACTTTAGATCTTCATGGAGGTGGTATCTCAGAAAAATCATAGCTTTGGCTTTGTTTTCTTTTGATGCGGTATTATCATTTTTTATGGTATCACCTAAGCTTTTGGCATCTAGGTGAATTTCAGCATCTATTACCCATGACATAGTTTTTTCCGCTGATGTCTAGTGCGGCGAATTCAAAGTTTGCAAGATTTGACACAGTGATAACTATAAAAGAAAATAATATTATTTTATTTTTCACATATGATATCATGCAAATAATAAAATTGCTTAAAGAAAACTTTAATGTTGTTAGACGTCTATCACTTAAAGATACAATCAAATGTTTGAATTTAAAATTCTTTATTGATACTGGACACTAATGAAATTTAATGAATGTCATTATGTGATAAGTGTCCTTTTGTAACCGATATTGACTATTAAATGTCATTAAATTTTGTATTTAATTAAAAAACAATTTATTTTAGGCACATTTTGAAAGACAATAATGGTATGTCTTCAATACATATTAAATGTCAATATTTAAACAGACTTTACTCTTGAGAAAAAAATTAGACTTCACTCTAGTTTTTTTATTTAAACAAACTTTAATCAATGACTTTAGTGAATTCGTGGCTAATTGACTTTACTCTGGGGCCTTGTGGGTAATTTGTATTTGGAAAAATGCTCATCAATCTCTTTTTTTTTACCTTTCACTATGGGTTTCCAATTAATAATATTAATTGGATCAACCAAACATTATGTTCAAATGTTATGTTGACAATAGAGGCCCAAGAAGAACGCAAAAATTCAAAATTTCAAATACAATCACATTTAACCCTTTGGTTTCAGTCGCGTTAGAATTGTTGTCTAAATTAATCCATAAATTAGTTTTATCTAAAGTTGTACTAATCTAAATTAATAGAATATACAGGGTTTAAAACAGAATAGGCTTCGATGTACACATTTCAAACAGACTAGACCTAGTTTGCATTTAAGCAATACTTACATAATTGCGCTTATTACTTCTTTCTCCCAATTCTTCAAGGAAATATAGCTGATCTAAAAACAGAGGAGTGTGTGGAGTTGATCTATCTAATGTGTCAAAAATAAGGATCACATATGAAGCAACTAACAGCTTATCAAGAAAAGGAATATCATGCTTGATGTTCTGACCTATATAGAATTCTATAACCACGAGGCCTAAGTCGGAAAAAATCTAATTCCCAAAGTTAACATCAAATTATGTCCTAAGTAAATTAAACAATAACAGGTGATGATGTCAGAATGAAGAATTTTCCCGATTTCCTCCATGGAGGAAGTTGAGCATTCAAGAATAACAATTGTAACTAAGTATTTGTTAATTAACCAATTATAACTAAGTATTTGTTAAAACAACAACAAGAGCAGACTTTGTAATAACAAGAACGATCGAGGTTTATTTAGGACATATGATTGAATCGACAAGGAAAATATAGGAAATACCTGGATGAATAGCCCCTGGAAATTGATCAATATCTCCTGAAAATCGGACTAGGGCTGTTTGAACAACAAGGGCTTGTGCGTGTGGCGATTCGGCAAGTGATGGCAAGCAGAGCAGCAAACAATCGATGAATAAGACGATGAATCCTTCTAGCGACATATTCAACCGATGATTGTAGATGGGTTCATATTAGGCGGATGGTTTTTGTGAAATATTACTTAGACAACAATTGATGGAAGAAGATGATTGCTTCTGCGATCCGATTTAGGGGAGCGGACCGATTTTATGGGGACGGTACGTTACTAGAGTCGTGCTGATAACGTATTAGAGTATATGAATGAAGGGTGTGTACAAATGGGGGAGAGTAGGGGATATATAGGTAAATACATGGGCCCAGTCAAGTACTCACTACTCATGGGCTTGGGCTAAGGGAGGAGTAGTGTATATTTATACATTACATAACAGAAGTAAAATATTTCCAACTTCTAAGGGTGAAATTGAAGGGAATATCATCGAAGAGTAGTAAAGATACCTTTATTTGGTCGAGTCTCGTAACATCAATTTTGAGGCTCTACTTCTGCAACCCTACCCATTATTTGTGGCCTTGTGGGTTTATAGAAATTTGGCCGGTGATTATTTTCTTGAATCAGCCGGGTTGTGCTATTTTTGTGCAGCCCAAGCTTTAACATTAAGAACCTTTTGCATTTGATAGTCATGAATTGAACCATGTCTGGAGCTAAAATTTTGTGATTCTGGTGAGCAATGAGTTATCTACATATAGTGTAAACATAGACAATGTGAATTGTTCAAGCCTACCAAATCTTGCAATCAAGGAAGACAAATGGCTCCTTTTACCATTGCCGGCAAAACTTATAAAATATACTCCGTACATTAATTCATTAAAGTATTAGATGATTCAACACCAATAATAACTTCTATATAGAGGCTTGTTGAATTATGTAAACATCATCGATACAAGAAGAAAAAAGAGAAGTATATTGTGAGAGAATAAAATCACATTTCTCATATATACATTACATTTTCTCTCAGGATTTATATGCATTCTGTTCTGGTGTTTTTATCCTTTTATTCTGTGTGCATCTTTTGTCAAGTATGAGCATGACTAGTTGGATAGCTAGGGTGCAACACTATTCTGTGATGATGTGGCTAACTATTCGGTATAGCAAGTTAATCTCCATAGGCAAATCTGTTTTAGTGTTTTATTTTATTCATTTCTATCACAGTTGGATTAAATCATTACAAAAAGAACTTCTTTGTTACTTTTACTGATAAATAATCAAATGGGGATAAGATTGTGCGGTTGGAGTGTGTGCACTTTTTCAGTATAGTTAAAGTTGCTGAACTGTGTTGTTCATAATATTTAAAATTAGTCCTTTTGATGCAGTCAACTACCAAGGTGGATATTATGGAGAAGTAGCAAGAGCTACTGGTGGCATAAGAAGGTATATAATGATGCTTTAAGCACACCTGAGATCTCTAATAGGGGTTCTTTTTAATCTAAATGTTGGGGAATTTCTGGATGGCACTTAAAAAATTATAACTACATGGACCTGACAGGCAAGAGCTAGATGAGGTAGAGATACGAGAGTTGCTAATAGATGAAATTGGCCATCGTTGCTGTTGGGGAAGTCGTCCAGCTCGTACCTGGAAAATTCATGCGGTAGAGGACTGCAATGTATATGTGGGAATACTGGATACTTTTATAGAGGAGAGGGAAGTAATTGCAGAAACAGAGCCGTACTTTGGTGGCAATATGGAAGGAAACAATGAAAACTATGAAGTGGGAATATGGGATTTGGATTTAAGGTCTGAACTTCCCGGCTTGTTCATACCTTATAAAGAATCAAAGATGAGAGTTCCTCACTCTGAAATTATTGGCAAATGCCCAGGTAACGACCGTACCAGCCTACACATATTTGTTTAGCATGTATCGTTCTATTCATGCTCTACTCTTAAGCCATCTCACAAAGGATAGGCCTAATATAAAAAAAACAAATTAGTCTTATACAAAAAGGCACAATTAAAGCCAATAAACAAATAAAGCACAATTGCTTTAGGCTCTTATACCATAATCCATATTAAATTGGGTCTAACTTATCTCGACAGGATCCTTAAGAGATGATGTATACTTGATACATACATATTAGATGCAAGTCTATTAAACATCCGATGTGGGACAGTTTACAGAAGTTACCAGAAGTACATGATCAATGCCTGCATTCCTCTAATTATAACTTGTGTCTTTTAAGGTTGTCATGGACGGGGAAGTGTAGTTTGCCCAACTTGTAATGCAGATCAAGATCCCAAGTTCTACAAGGAAGGTCAAACTTCTCAGTGTCTCCAATGTTATGGGAGAGGCCTAATTGCTCATAAAGATGGATCTGATACCATGTTAGCTTCTTTTCTCTTATAACTCAATATGTGTGGTTTTGCCTGGAAGTAAATTAAATTAGCGAATGTATATTATGCTGTTTTTTATTATTTATCAGATGCCAGAAGTGCAAAGGCGATGGAAAAGTGTCTTGTCCCACTTGCGAGTCACGTGGGCTAATGAGATGCCAGACATGCCAGGGTAGTGGTTCACTGTTGTCATACAAAGTTGCTGTTGTCAAATGGTTTGTATTTTATTTACTTCTATCTTTTATTTATGTTTTATTTAACCTACTAAAACCTTGTTGCCGTTGTTGGGGATCCGGTTTCTCTGCTTGGATAATGTGACCTATCTGATGAGCATGGATCTCACAGCTGTAAGACCCCGTCCAATTTCGCCAAGCAGAGGATCCGGGTTTTGTAATGTCCATATATGACATGCTTTGCAGTCTTTATTTATATGATCTTACACATAAAACTCGTGTATAAAGGTAAAAAGGATCTCATTTTTTAGCTGACTTTTTTGCTCAAAGGTGTTAAACTATAACCATTGTTTTGGATCAATATATTTTATGGTTTTTTTGGTTCTTATATCATACGGAGTACGTAGTAGTATTTATATAATACAATCATATATTACAGATTACTCCGTGTATGGTATGAAAATAAATTATTAGTCAAAGATTAACATTCTTGACAAAAAAAATAGCAACCGCTATGAGATTAATGTAGTACGCGTTTTTTAAATAAGAAAATGTACTAAGCTGTTTTTCCCCAAAATATTACTTAAATGATACTCAAGTATTAAAATATAACGAAATGGTCACTGATACCCCAGTATCACAATCTCTAGATTAGATGCTTATGGTCACTTCGGATTAAAGAGGTTAAGTTATTGTCCTTAATTCTTAACTTAGTAATATCTTCGCCATTAATTTAATATGCAGGAAGACAGTGTCAAACCGGAAAGTGAATGCCACGAGCGGAGCAGCTTCAGTTCCGGACGGTGTATTCCACAGAGCTAAAGGGGTGCAGCTATGGAATAACCAGGCACCATACCAGTGCACCCCTGCCTGTTTTGAAGATCCATATTTCCTCAACAAATTTTCATCTGAGGTAATTGCAGAGAGGGGTCCCGTGCCGCCGCTTGCAAGAGTCATAAGTGAAAGGCATATCATCTCTGTCGTCCCGGTGACACGCGTAACCATGACGGCTCCTCATCGCAATCGCTCCTTCAGTTTCTATATCATTGGATACAGCAGGGAGGTCTACCTACGGGACAATGACTACCCTTCAACATTTTGTTGGGGTCTTTGCCATTGCTGTGGTTGGTTCAAACTTTAAGCATATCTTGCATTAGAGTTTCATTAAAAAGAATTTTTTTTCTCCACTATGATCATATCTATATAATTGTATCCTAGTGTATTATTTTATACTCCATCTAATAAAATTTGGCCAAATTTCTTTTTCTGGTTGTCCCAAAAACTGTCATTTTCATTTAAAGTAAGAAATATGTGGCTAAAGTTATTTCTATCTCTTCTGCACAATTTTAATCACTTTTTATTTTATTAATCTACGTGCAAGTCAACTTTGGTAAAGTTTTGTGGGACGGAGGAAATATATGAAAAATGGTTGAAGGTAGTGTGTGAGTGGCTTATTGTTAAGATAAAAGGTTCAATTCAAAAAGTTTAATCTTATTGGAGAAGTACTCATAATTTTATGGTTTATGCAGTATTATTTGATACCCATCTGATTTACTTGAGAGATTATACAAAATAGCTTAATAATACTTGGTGGTTATTGGTTAATCTTCCCAAAAAAACTTCGTGGTTAATATTGGGGTCAGTTAACATAAATCAATACACGATATCATCACCAAAAGGAAAACAAAGAAAATAAAGATAAAAAAGATAAACTATTATAAAAAAGATAATATAAAAAGAGATAAATATACCTCAAAATGATAAAATAAAAAAGGGATAAAAATAATGTTTATATATATAAGGATATAAGGATTAAAAAACAAGAAAAAAGGATATCACTCTTCCACACGAATACCCGTCTTCCACTTTACTCTTTCCAAAGTTATATCCTCATCCAACCCAATAAGAAGCATATCACTTCGGACTCTCCTAATCCATGTCTGTTTGGACTTTTCTCTCCCTCCTTGCGTTCCGTGGTTAATAAGTATATGAAAATAAACGTACTTTTTTAAAAGTAGAAGTTTAAGTGTGGTAAAACTGTAACTTTTTATATAGTACGAAGTAGTATAAATTAGTAAAATATTACTACGTACTTAGGGGTGGACTCGGGCCGGGCGGCCTGACCCGGAACCGGCCCGGCCCGCCCACTGTAGCAACCGGCCCGGTGGCCCGGTCCACCGGTGGTTCGGGTCGAACCGGCCCGGTGGATACCGGTTCCGGGCCCGGGCCCTCCATTTGGTGAACCGGCCCGGCCGGTTCAGGCCCGGTCCGGGCCGGAATTTTTTTTTTTTTTTGATTTTTTTTTAAGTTTTGGGTTGGATTAGGTATTTTGGGTCATTTGAAGTGGTTTGTGGTGGTTTGGGGTTGAGGCCTTGAGGGGGAGGGATAGGGGGTTAAATAAGAGAAGCAAAAAAAAAAAAATTATGACCCGGGTGGCCCGGCCCGGAACCGGGAGCCACCGGTTCGGGTCCGGGCCCTCCTTTTGGTGAACCGAGGCCCGGCCGGCTCAAGGCCCGAATCGGGCCCGGCCCGAATCGAGTCCACCCATATACGTACTTCCTTCGTTTCAATAAGATTGTCTCGTCTATCCTTTCATGTTCATCCAACTAAGATTGCTAAATTTGAATGGTTTTCAAATCATTTTACCTTATTCTTATTTTATCAATTCAATATCAAACACATAAAGTCACTTTTATTGATATGCGTGTTACTACCTCTTGTATCATTGGTGGTGGCACGGAGAGTAAATAATAAAGTTGAGATTAAGTGAGTTTTTTCTAAACCATTTTAGTCTTTACAAGTTAATCAGAAACTTGTGAAATACTATGCATTTGTTTTTAAAACAAAAATCACATAAGTGTTTCTTAAGAAATGATAAACCTCTTGAAGGCTACAGCCTGAATTATACAGCTTATGACCTTAAGTGAAATTACAATTGTTTCATTACATTAATGTATGAAGTATACAAGAAATTTGGTAAAGTAACTATATCTTTACCAGAAGTATGCAAGCAATTTGGTAAAGTAACTGCCTACTACAGTGTCACCTGCTGCTGCCGCCAACCTCCCGAATCCTGCTGCAGTGCTGCCACCACTGATCACCGGAGTTTCAACGGGGTAAAAAAGTCCAGTTTTTTGGCCATGTTCTCTTGCCACCGTCGCCAGTCGTCGAAGCTCCGCCACTGATCTATCCCACCACCAACGAACTAACCCACCACAATAGACTGATTCAATTGTCCAAGGGATTGGAACTAATTAAGGGGCAATTATTTAATTAGATCGAATAGGATATTAGGGATATAAAATTAATATTTACCTCTATTTAGGGAAGATTAGAGATGAACTCCGGGAAAGTTGTGCTAGGTGTGTTTTACTTGGCAATCACTTACTGCGCATAACATTATACATGTTACACTTTCATGTAACTTTGACATTTTAATAACTAATTGTGAATATCTAATTTTATCAAACACTTCCAAAATCCCTTAACTATGTTTGGTACGATACTACGATGTAATCAATCATGTAATGTAATGAGCATTATGTGTTGATTAAAATACAATGTTTGGTATGTCATGTTATTTTAAATCGTAATGTAATGCGCATTACGTATGTGGAATCCATTACTTTAATATGTGTAATAGACTTTAAATTAGAAACATAGTGTATTTGGGATTACATTTTCTTGTATTTCTTTTAAGTGTGGTCAGTTGTTCCCTCTCCCGGCGAATGATTTTTCCCTTTCAAATTTGCACATTTTCTTCTTCCCCAATGTTCTGTCGCTACTAACCAAACATAGTAATGGAATATTGATTTCATTCCATTACATTACAATTTTTATTGCATTTACATACTTTATTCCAATGCATTGAATTACATCATACCAAACATAGCCATTCCATCAAAATCATCAATTCAAACAAATAACCACTAACAAGTGATTATCAAATAGAGCCTACATTAGTAAGATTATCTCATACCATATGTCCATATGTGGACTTCTCTAGCTGGTTGTAATATAGTTTTTCAATAATTTTTTTGAAGTAGAAAGAACTCGTTAATTGTAGGACACATATAATTATGAGAAATAATATTAGGAAAACCTTATGAAGTTATGAGATAAGCTTACTCGTCAATACAAATTAATAGAGTAAGATTATGAGATTACTAATGGATTAAGTAATGATTATCATGCTAATTAATTTGTTTAATTGGTAAAACCTAACGACGATAATTTACTCGAAATAAGAAGAAACATGTTTCCCTTTTCACGAACAGGGCATGGAACAAATTAAAGCCATCCGATCCCCTCCCATCTTTTCCCTAAGCACAAACGTTTAATAAGTTTCTTATATTAATTACAACCTGATTTGCATGTGATTGCAATTATAGGATGCGTTTCTTTTCCTGATTTTGAGCACTTTTAATTTGTCTCTTCAGATGAATGTCGTGCAAATACTTTTCTAGCGATCTACCATATATTAGCATACGGATTAAGGAATACTACGTACTTGTATAAAATTATACTCCGTATTAATTGTTCAAAACAGGAAAAAAATGGGAGAACTGAACTTTGCACCCCACTTTTTGGGTGATAATGGACTTTGCGCCCTATTTTAAAAAAGTTTTGACTTTGCACCCCAACACATACCATTTTGTGAAGAAAAATTTCTAAATGGGTGCAAAGTCAAAGAAATTTTAAGTGGAATGGTGTGCAAAATCAAAGTTTTTTCAAAATGGGGTGCAAAGTCCAATATCACCCAAAAAGTGAGGTGCAAAGTCAAATTACCCAAAAAAATATAACAAAGTTTTAGAGTAAGATTGAGAGTTTGTTTGATAATCCTTGAATTGGCTGAAATGTTGAAATTGATTAAATTAAATTCTAACGAAAGCGGGTGAATTGATAAATCTGCTAAATAATGAAAAAAAAAATCATATTTAAAATATACTACATATTTTATTCATAAAATGTAGAAAAATTTATATGGAGAATGGCTAAAGTAGTCTTCTACTAATTTTTTCAGAAAAGTGACTTAAACTTTTTTTTTATTACACAATTTAGCGTGTAAAATAAAAAATTGTGTGTTTGGTGAAAACATAGGTTCATAAGGCGAGAATAGGACTCATCAAACGGGCTCTAAGGATGAAGATTCAAATCTTTGGTAATTTTAGATTATAGTGAAATTACATTTTAATGAATGTTCTAACAAATTAAAATAGTATTATTGTTGATGAAGAATTATAAGCATTGAGATTTTTTAAAATCTAATGTATCACAATGATGTTAGAATTAGATGTACTAGAAAAAAAGTTTATTATTTGCATCGAAGAGTACCAATTGAGGTATTAGAAATTCCTCAATATAGGACTAAAATATAAAAAATATTAAAAAATATTACTAAGTATGTTTTACTCCAAAATAAGTTGATTAAAGTTTTGTAAAATATGAGCAAATGAATCCTACTTTGATAATAAAACAATGATATATAGTCTTCTTTAGGAACTTTAACCTTGTTTGTTTAGTCCTATTTAGGGAATCTACTTAATTAACTTCAAGACTTATTTAGTTTTATTAACAGATTAAAATAATAGTACGTAACGTAGTATCTTATTTGAAAAAAAATTGTTATATTTTACTAGTATATTCAGTGGCGGAGCCAGAAATGCGGTCCAGGGGGGTAGAGAATCAACTTTATACAAAATGAAAACGGTGGATCGTTTCCAAACAATGTCCGAGTTCAATATTTTATATGTAGTTTAGATAAATAGACACTCGTAACAATAAAAGAGACTGTTTTTGATCTATTTTTGAGTCATGTCACGTAAGCAATGAGTTAATTATACGCTATTTTTAAAATTTGGGGAAAATAATGAATATTACTCATCAAATTTTGCTGATTTTATATTTAGATAGTGCTGATTTTGCAGAAGTCATAACTTTTTACTCGTAATGAGTTACGGGGGTCATAATATATCAAATCGAAGATATTTTAGAGCTCTATGCTCTCAAACTTTCAGCGGGGTCGACTGACCCCCTGACCCCCTTGGCTCCGCCCCTGAGTATATATCATTCCTAGAGAATTTGTTAGTTGTTACAAAGCTGGAGTAACATGTATCATGGCTCATTTAATAGTTCCCAGGTGTAAAAGTGTGTTTGTTTGTACCCCGGGGTCATAATTAAGGCGCAGCATGTGCGATGTCACTATTGACGATAAATATTTTTTTGTTTGGGTAAATTTATTTTGACGATAATTTTTTTGTTAATTATATTTATTTCTCATATGATCGATAACAGTATAACACCGGCCGTTAATTTACTTTCCGAAGTTTTTACGACTCAGCACTTTTTTCTTCATCCATCTATTTTTATGATTTTTGTACCCTATGGGTACTATGGAATATACCTCTGTATTATACTCCCTCCGTCCCAAAATTATCTTCATAGTTACTATTCACATGGTCAACTCAAATTACTCTTAATCTTTTACTTTATATATCAAATTTTTATCAAACTTAAATTTTCTTGATCAGGCTTTGTAGCGGTTTTAATGTAGTTTCTGAATATGTAAATTTTATTTACTAAAAATAATCCGAGTGTGAACAGGGATCGAGTTGCTTTATCGTCAGTCAAGCATCGTAAACCGAACTATGAAGATAAATATGGGACGGAGGTAGTACGTAGTTTATGCCTTTACGGCATGCTAAGCTGCTAAAAATACGTACCATAATTCTCTCAACATTTTTTCACTCTTATTTTTTTACACAAGCTTTCGGAACATTTTATCTATATATATTTTTAAAGGAAACTGATTATATTATATCAATCAAACTTCTCAAAGTATTTCCACCCATACAACGTCAAACCTTCTCATGAGCCTCCCCAGAGCCCAAGGGCCCTCCACTCTCTGGCTAGACATAGAATAAACCACCACGAAAGAAGCGAGACTATTCGCGAATCATGTGAGAGCTTCGAAACTTTTTACTGCCAAACAAGCCTTATCGCTTCCACCAACAGTAACATTCCGAACAAAGCAAGAAAAACAAAACACCAACCTACTACTAGAGTTCAAAACAATGAGAATAGCAACATGGGCAAAATAAAATGAAAAACAGTAATAATAAATAAAGTCTTCATGACTCTATGCCTAATTTAACTCCCCAAAGCTACGGACCGGTGCCTCTTAGTGCTATGCCTGGCAGGGGCGGTCCTGTACATTTGAAGGCCTAGGGGCGAACAATATAAAATGGGCCTAATTCTAAAAAAAATTGTAAATCACGTTTCTATCTAAACTAGAATGCAAAATAATAATATTTGAATACTTTTATAATAAAGAAAATACTAGAATTTGTTAAATTAATCATAGTCATATCATGTTTTCAAAATAACCAAATGAAAATTACTTAAATACATTCCTTGCTGAACACTGTGAAGCAAAGTCGTCAACTATAGCGTCATAATCAAGCTTTTCTAACACATTATGCTCAATGCTTAATATAGCTAATCCATTAAGCCTTTCTTGTGACATTGTTGATCGCAGATAATTTTTGAGAATCTTCAACTTTGAAAAACTTCTTTCAGCAGTGGCCACAGTTACCGGTACTGTCAATAGTATCCTATAAGCAATTGTTGTGTTTGGATAGCAGCCCATAATCTTCACAAAATCAAGAATTTGAATGACAGTGTCTTTGTCATCCGGTAAAACGTTTTGCAACATTTTCAATTCTTGAAAGAGATCATCCCTATCAACATCTTCTTTATCACCATCCTGCAAAGCATCCGCAAGTATCTCACAGCATTCTTTCAGTTTATCATGAACCAACGATTTCAAGTTCCTTGAGCTAAACAGAAAGCCAAATATACGCTGAAACTCTTTCATCTGATCAAATCTAGTTTGCAAAGACATCAAAGCGGCATCCATCACAACATTGAAATAAAAACACTTAAAAGAATCTTCTGGAGACTTATCTTCATCATCTTCTTCATTGTCTTCATCAAAATACTTTTTTCTACGCGTCAATCGTTTCTTAGGAAATCCAGGTTCCAATCCCATGTCAAGAGCAATGCTTGTTGCGGTGTTCAAAGCAGCTTCAAACCCTTCTTCTCTATACTTGTTTAAATGAATAATCAAATCATTCATATTCATCACACAAGTATCAATGCACATATCTTCACTTTGTAACAATTTGCTAACCTGTTTAATTAAATGAATAATCAAGTCACTAATTAATATTCATAACACAAGTATCAATGCACATATATTCACTTTATAATGATTTACTGACCTGATTAATCGGGCGCAAAACTTCATACCATATTGTCATTCCCAGTAAGAACTCAAATTTCTCTAGCTGTTTGAGTACACTTTTAACATCACTTTTTGACGAATAATCAGGACAATCTTTTCCCAATTCAATCAAAGCTTCTCTTATTTGAGGGGTTTGGGTTGCAATTGCTTTCACACTTTCTAGGCGGCACTCCCAACGTGTGGTGGACAATGATTTCAAAGTAAAACCATGTACACATTCTTTCAAAATTGCCCATCTTTTTGTTGAACCAGAAAACAATGTATACAATTTTTGAACACATCCAAAAAATGTAATAGCTCTAGAACAAGAATTTACCATATCTGAAATGGTTAAATTAAGACTATGACAAGCACACGGCATGTAAAAAGCTCTTCGATTAATGTCAAGCAATCTTCTTTGAACACCTTGATGCTTGCCTTTCATGTTAGAGCCATTATCATATCCTTGTCCACGTACATCATCAATGTCAAGTTCGCATAAAGCCAAAATACTCTCTAATTCAGTAAAGAGCCCTAACCCAGATGTATCAAGCACTTCGATAAACTCTAAGAAAAATTCCAAAACTTGAGGTGTGTTTGATGACATATCCACACACCTTACTATCAAAGTCATTTGCTCTTTGTGACTGGAATCGGGTGTGCAATCAAGAATGATTGAAAAATACTTAGCAGCTTTGATCTGTGTAATAATTGCACTTTTAACACCGGAAGCTAACTTCGAAATCAATTCATTCTGAATTTTGTGACTAAGATAATGATAATGAATCTCTTTAGATTGAATACGTCTCAAATGCTCTTGCATAACCGGATCAAACTCAGCAAGCATCTCAATGATAGCTAAAAAATTTCCATTGTTTTCTTCATATATTTTCTCAGATTTTCCACGAAAAGCAATGGATTTTTTTGCAAGAGTCTTAACTAAAGCAATTATTCTCTTAAGAACATCTCTCCAATGTTGCTTCTCTTTGGCAAGTTTTTCTTGAATAGCAAAATCGATAGTTTTTCCTTTTGCCAATCTCATCTTCATATCAATCCATTTTTGCACATAACCAAAGTGTAGAAAACTTTTTTCATGACTAGAAAGTTTCTCACTCAAATGTTTCCAATCATTTGACCCTTCATTAGCTAAAAGACTAGGCCCCTCTTTTGTTTTGAACAACTTGCAACAAAAACAAAACACTTTATCCACCTTTTTTGAGTACACCAACCACGGCCTATCTTCACTTTCTTTATTTTTCATGTTTCTAGTGTAGTACGCATTGGAAAAATGTCTACCCTTAGCATCAAGAGGATAATCGAGTTGCATATCTCTTATAGGGCCTTTTTCAATTACAATGTCTATGGTTTTGGCATCTAAATTCTTCCAATCAGCAGGGTCATAAATATCCAAAACCAAAGGACCAACAATTGGAGGTACTACATTTGATCTATCCGAATCATTTTTCGGTTGCTCACCACCAATGTTATCAACTCCTAAATTCTCACTTCGCATGACTTGATCATTATGAACTGTTTCGCTTTCGTTAGCTGAATCATTCTTCTCACCTAAATTCTTATCTTCAGAAGGACCTTCAGATTTTTTCTTCTTCGTAAAAACAAACTTTTCCATTGCACCTTTTTGACTTAGGGCAGCATTTTCTAATCTTCTTTTCCTCGATAGTTTATCCCATCCGGATTCAACCATTTTTATCAAACCTTGAAATTAGTTAAGTTTATAAATTTAATTATAATTGAAAACTATTACCTAACAAAAATGAACAAATAATAACACCAACACTCTTACACTCAAATGACTGGATAGGTATAATTAGGTGATTAACATCTAACAAAGCATCCAATTATTTATCAACTATTCATAATCATTAATCAATTAATCATTTATAAATTATAAATTATAAACATAATTTAATTAAAATAACACAATTACACAAATACAAAATAACACAATCAATCAATCATTTATATATGTTCGTACTACTCAGAAATCAAGTTTGGAAGGGCAGAAGGCATATGACGGCGTATGGCGTACCTGATGTGCTGCTAACCCGCTGGCCGTTGTGGTCTTGTGGACGCCGAACAGGGGCAGTCTAGCGTCGCTGAACTGCTGAAGGCCTGAAGCAGGGGCGGTCCTGTACATTTGAAGGCCTAGGGGCGAACAATATAAAATGGGCCTAATTCTAAAAAAAATTGTAAATCACGTTTCTATCTAAACTAGAATGCAAAATAATAATATTTGAATACTTTTATAATAAAGAAAATACTAGAATTTGTTAAATTAATCATAGTCATATCATGTTTTCAAAATAACCAAATGAAAATTACTTAAATACATTCCTTGCTGAACACTGTGAAGCAAAGTCGTCAACTATAGCGTCATAATCAAGCTTTTCTAACACATTATGCTCAATGCTTAATATAGCTAATCCATTAAGCCTTTCTTGTGACATTGTTGATCGCAGATAATTTTTGAGAATCTTCAACTTTGAAAAACTTCTTTCAGCAGTGGCCACAGTTACCGGTACTGTCAATAGTATCCTATAAGCAATTGTTGTGTTTGGATAGCAGCCCATAATCTTCACAAAATCAAGAATTTGAATGACAGTGTCTTTGTCATCCGGTAAAACGTTTTGCAACATTTTCAATTCTTGAAAGAGATCATCCCTATCAACATCTTCTTTATCACCATCCTGCAAAGCATCCGCAAGTATCTCACAGCATTCTTTCAGTTTATCATGAACCAACGATTTCAAGTTCCTTGAGCTAAACAGAAAGCCAAATATACGCTGAAACTCTTTCATCTGATCAAATCTAGTTTGCAAAGACATCAAAGCGGCATCCATCACAACATTGAAATAAAAACACTTAAAAGAATCTTCTGGAGACTTATCTTCATCATCTTCTTCATTGTCTTCATCAAAATACTTTTTTCTACGCGTCAATCGTTTCTTAGGAAATCCAGGTTCCAATCCCATGTCAAGAGCAATGCTTGTTGCGGTGTTCAAAGCAGCTTCAAACCCTTCTTCTCTATACTTGTTTAAATGAATAATCAAATCATTCATATTCATCACACAAGTATCAATGCACATATCTTCACTTTGTAACAATTTGCTAACCTGTTTAATTAAATGAATAATCAAGTCACTAATTAATATTCATAACACAAGTATCAATGCACATATATTCACTTTATAATGATTTACTGACCTGATTAATCGGGCGCAAAACTTCATACCATATTGTCATTCCCAGTAAGAACTCAAATTTCTCTAGCTGTTTGAGTACACTTTTAACATCACTTTTTGACGAATAATCAGGACAATCTTTTCCCAATTCAATCAAAGCTTCTCTTATTTGAGGGGTTTGGGTTGCAATTGCTTTCACACTTTCTAGGCGGCACTCCCAACGTGTGGTGGACAATGATTTCAAAGTAAAACCATGTACACATTCTTTCAAAATTGCCCATCTTTTTGTTGAACCAGAAAACAATGTATACAATTTTTGAACACATCCAAAAAATGTAATAGCTCTAGAACAAGAATTTACCATATCTGAAATGGTTAAATTAAGACTATGACAAGCACACGGCATGTAAAAAGCTCTTCGATTAATGTCAAGCAATCTTCTTTGAACACCTTGATGCTTGCCTTTCATGTTAGAGCCATTATCATATCCTTGTCCACGTACATCATCAATGTCAAGTTCGCATAAAGCCAAAATACTCTCTAATTCAGTAAAGAGCCCTAACCCAGATGTATCAAGCACTTCGATAAACTCTAAGAAAAATTCCAAAACTTGAGGTGTGTTTGATGACATATCCACACACCTTACTATCAAAGTCATTTGCTCTTTGTGACTGGAATCGGGTGTGCAATCAAGAATGATTGAAAAATACTTAGCAGCTTTGATCTGTGTAATAATTGCACTTTTAACACCGGAAGCTAACTTCGAAATCAATTCATTCTGAATTTTGTGACTAAGATAATGATAATGAATCTCTTTAGATTGAATACGTCTCAAATGCTCTTGCATAACCGGATCAAACTCAGCAAGCATCTCAATGATAGCTAAAAAATTTCCATTGTTTTCTTCATATATTTTCTCAGATTTTCCACGAAAAGCAATGGATTTTTTTGCAAGAGTCTTAACTAAAGCAATTATTCTCTTAAGAACATCTCTCCAATGTTGCTTCTCTTTGGCAAGTTTTTCTTGAATAGCAAAATCGATAGTTTTTCCTTTTGCCAATCTCATCTTCATATCAATCCATTTTTGCACATAACCAAAGTGTAGAAAACTTTTTTCATGACTAGAAAGTTTCTCACTCAAATGTTTCCAATCATTTGACCCTTCATTAGCTAAAAGACTAGGCCCCTCTTTTGTTTTGAACAACTTGCAACAAAAACAAAACACTTTATCCACCTTTTTTGAGTACACCAACCACGGCCTATCTTCACTTTCTTTATTTTTCATGTTTCTAGTGTAGTACGCATTGGAAAAATGTCTACCCTTAGCATCAAGAGGATAATCGAGTTGCATATCTCTTATAGGGCCTTTTTCAATTACAATGTCTATGGTTTTGGCATCTAAATTCTTCCAATCAGCAGGGTCATAAATATCCAAAACCAAAGGACCAACAATTGGAGGTACTACATTTGATCTATCCAAATCATTTTTCGGTTGCTCACCACCAATGTTATCAACTCCTAAATTCTCACTTCGCACGACTTGATCATTATGAACTGTTTCGCTTTCGTTAGCTGAATCATTCTTCTCCCCTAAATTCTTATCTTCAGAAGGACCTTCAGATTTTTTCTTCTTCGTAAAAACAAACTTTTCCATTGCACCTTTTTGACTTAGGGCAGCATTTTCTAATCTTCTTTTCCTCGATAGTTTATCCCATCCGGATTCAACCATTTTTATCAAACCTTGAAATTAGTTAAGTTTATAAATTTAATTATAATTGAAAACTATTACCTAACAAAAATGAACAAATAATAACACCAACACTCTTACACTCAAATGACTGGATAGGTATAATTAGGTGATTAACATCTAACAAAGCATCCAATTATTTATCAACTATTCATAATCATTAATCAATTAATCATTTATAAATTATAAATTATAAACATAATTTAATTAAAATAACACAATTACACAAATACAAAATAACACAATCAATCAATCATTTATATATGTTCGTACTACTCAGAAATCAAGTTTGGAAGGGCAGAAGGCATATGACGGCGTATGGCGTACCTGATGTGCTGCTAACCCGCTGGCCGTTGTGGTCTTGTGGACGCCGAACAGGGGCAGTCTAGCGTCGCTGAACTGCTGAAGGCCTGAAGCCTGAAACGCCGAAGCCGAAGGCCGGAGTGCGGCGACCGGCGTCCGTCGTTGACAGTTGACTACTCGTGTGTCGGTGCTTGACTGCGTGTCTGGCTGTCTGCCCGTCTACGTGACTACGTGAGGCGTGAGTTTCAGATGAGGCTTGGCCGCTTGGGATGAAAACGGGAAAGTAAATACGTAACCAGGGCTGCACATTAGTTCATTAGGTACTCTGTTTTTTTCTTCAATTTGGACCTTTCTCTTTTTTTGGGCTGCTTATACTATAAAAATTATTAATTTTGGGTTAAAACTCAGCCTACTCAAACATACTATAAAGAAATAATATTGGGCCTAAAAAAATTTCATTTTTTTTGGGCCTAGGGCCACTGCCCCACCTGCCCCCCCCTAGGGCCGCCCCTGGCCTGAAGCCTGAAACGCCGAAGCCGAAGGCCGGAGTGCGTCGACCGGCGTCCGTCGTTGACAGTTGACTACTCGTGTGTCGGTGCTTGACTGCGTGTCTGGCTGTCTGCCCGTCTACGTGACTACGTGAGGCGTGAGTTTCAGATGAGGCTTGGCCGCTTGGGATGAAAACGGGAAAGTAAATACGTAACCAGGGCTGCACATTAGTTCATTAGGTACTCTGTTTTTTTCTTCAATTTGGGCCTTTCTCTTTTTTTGGGCTGCTTATACTATAAAAATTATTAATTTTGGGTTAAAACTCAGCCTACTCAAACATACTATAAAGAAATAATATTGGGCCTAAAAAATTTTCATTTTTTTTGGGCCTAGGGCCACTGCCCCACCTGCCCCCCCTAGGGCCGCCCCTGATGCCTGGCATGAACTAGCTCCATCTCTTCTGACATCCTATTTGGTAATCTCCTGAGTCCTTCACGCGCCTACGCTTCTGCTCAATATGCCATCTCTCATGTGATGATCGAGAGCCCACCTTCCACAGTACCTAGTCGCATGCCCTCTTCTCTATTTCCACTGGTAGCCTTGCTATCATAACTGATTCCTTTCCCTGCTGTAACAAGCCATTTTGTTCTCCCTCCATTGCTTTGCCCCTTTTGCAGCTCAAAGCCAAGGCCCGAATGGCCTCTTGTTCGTTACTTCGTAACCCCTTCGCTTACGCGGGGGGCTATTATTCCACACAAAAAGCAGAAACTAGGCAGTTTCTCGTAGCAAAATCTGACTCGGAAAATTAACTCCTTCCTCTTTTTTTTTTGCAAAAACAATTTCCTTTTCAACGATTTTGCCAGATCAATACAAACACGAATTCTCATAAAAGATTCCCAATTCTCAGAGAAATTATTTTCATCAACTTTTATAAAAGTCCCCAAAAATTCCCAATACGTTCCGCATTCTCAACAGTGAAATATCCCACTCGGATATCATGAACTTGAACCCAAAAATCATCTTTATTCAGAGGGACAGACAAAGGAATATTGCCCTCTTTAAGCCCACTCATAACAATTAGGTTCTGATAAAAAGCCACGGTCCCTCATTAATAACCCTAATGACATCCCCTCATTGTAAAACTGGAATACATACCTGATAGTGTACATCATAAATAAAATACATATCCATTATACTCCGTATATCTCTGAGATGGTTTTCATCAAACGTAATATTCCATACGGAGTATTATATACGAAGTATACAGTTAATGAATATGTTTAAGTGACTGTTATATTAATGTAATGAACAATTCCAAGCATATAATTAAATTATGTATTCCATTACCTCTTCACTGTTGTACGTTAGTATGATGAGTCACGGGAGAACTTATAATATTGTACGGAAAGGAATCGAATTAGCTAGAGAAACTTAAAATATGTGGCGCATGTGAGCACAAATCAACATGAATGATGATACCTATATAGTGATTAGTTAGCGAATGTCCGTGACTCCTATTTAACTCTTTTTTTCATATTCGTCCAAAATAGGATGCTCGTGGGTTTTTGGGAAAGTTAGAGCATCTCCAATGCTAAAACGTTAACGGTGCATACGTGGCATGAAAAATAACCAATTAAAAAACAATAAGTACAATATCTCTCTCCTTATTTGAAGGATCTTACATCATTTTGGTAAGTTTTTCTTGACAATGTCAAACACAATGTCTGGATGTAGAAATTGTGACTGACATTGCAGACAAAAACTTACCATAAACACATAAGACCGTGGAAAGAAGGAGAGAGATATTGTATTTATTGTTTTTTAATTGGTTATTTCTCATGCCACGTATGCACCGTTAACGTTTTAGCATTGGAGATGCTCTTATGTTAGACATTCAAACATGAATCAAGAAAGTAAGAATGGATATAGAAAGTTGCTAAAGAGGTTTTTATTGTCAGAAATAACATGTAGAAATTGCGTCCCTTAATTTGAATTACAAGCTGTCTTTTATAGGCGTATAAAAATGGTAACCGCTATCGATAATAATGACTAATTACTTACAACCTTACTACATAATTAAACAACGCATTAATTGCTTGACCGTTACTTTTCCTAACTGGAAGGTCGGTTGGACCGACTGGCTCCCGGCTGGACCGGTAGGCAGGCTCCGGGTTGTGGGCTTGGGACCCACGGGTCCAAGTTCGAGACTTGGACCGATTAGGCTCTGGGCCTAATCCCATAACTCCATCAGATAGCATATGCATGGTGCATTGGGGTTTGTTTACTTTTTTTTTCCATCAAAAAGCTCATTTAGCAAACACCCAAATTGATTACGGAGTATATATTAATATAATTTGTTTAACTTGTGAAATTTTAGTTGAATTGGCTAAATGCATGCTACACACACTAATTATTTTATAAAGGAAAGTAAGATTTTTTTTGGAACATTTAAAAAGGTAAACGGATGAATATCTTGAAATGAGATTAGCATTTAGTTTTAAATGATTAAGTTTTACTAATATAACTAAATACATTAATGGTTATGTAATGATATACGTGAAATTGAAACCATTTCAATTTAAAACAAATATATACTATATTAAAGTTGGTAGTCAGATAACATTACCGATATTTTTTCAAAAAGGAGGTCACAAGTTTCGAATTACAAGTTGCATACAGAATATTGTATTATCATCACCATTTTTAGGATGTTTTCTTTTGGACTGTTTTCAGTCCCAGACCAGATCAAACCAAACTAGATCAGACCAGATCAGACTTGACTTCCGTAGTTATAAAATACACAGAGACCAGACGTTTACCAGACCAAACCAGACCAGACCAGATCAGACCAGACCAGCAAATTTGGGTCCAAAAGAAAACATCCTACTGCATGTCTATCATTCTTGGAGAAATTTTAAAACGGTTCGGTCGATACATATGGGCTACGTACTATAGGAAGATTGCCAATCATCATGGGACGAATTGGGACTTGGTGGGCACATGGGACCGGCTAAACCAATTAAGACAAATGTAGCTCGCCAATTTAGAGCATCCCACCCATTTTGTCATCATGGTTAAGATTTGTCAAATTGAAATTTTATATCCCACATGATCTTAAATTGTTGTGGTGTTTGCATTTATTTGTCAAATAGGCGCATTTAGGCTTTGGTAACTTCATTTCTTACATTTTCCAAATTCAAACTATTCCCATGTGTCTAATTACATCATCTATTTCAAATAGGTTGCAAGTTTTGACTAATATGTGAAATAAGAATAAAAAACTGTATGGATTAATTTTTGAAAAAGGGACAAGAAATGCTCAAAACTACGGAGTATAAATTAATTATAATTACTTTTTAGGATAAATTAATTATAATTACTTTTTAGGATACAGAAAAAGTTTTTGAGACAATAAAAAGATAGTGTGACAAAATCTAATTGAGCGGATCCGAAGGAACATTTATCCTACTCTCTTATATCGTCAATGAAATTTAATCTAACATTGACTATACTGACTATCTAAAGGTGAAATCGTCCACGCCACGCGCCACAATATGGCCGACACAATAGGTAAACCAAATGCATGTTGTTTTAGTTTTGGTTTGCCCTAAATCTAAACCACATTCATGTTGCTCATGTGTCATGAGAACTTGAGAAGCCCTTCAATTTGAAAGTAACATTCACAATGCCTTTATGCCGCTATGTATCTGTGTACAAAGTTTTCACTCCGATTTCAACTAGCACAATCATATACTTCCTTCGTTCCATAATTCTTGCAACATTGTGATTTTTACACTATTCACAGATCTTACTTTGACCTTGATTTTCTACTAATATACATAATCAAATTATTACATATAAAATGTTATTGAACTCTTATCAATGTGAATTTCCAAAATATTAACTTTTTATAATATCTACTAATACATAATTAAATATAATTACAGTCAAAGTTGTGCATTGGCAAACGAGAAAGTCAAACTGTTGCAAGAATTATGGAAATGAGGATAGTATTTGATGAATGCGTGTGATGGACCTATCATCATAATTAAAAAGAGTACCAAGCGTGTTTAATTTTGGTTTAATAGGCTAGTACAGTAGTACTCCCTGCGAAATTAATATTTGAAAGATATTTGTACCATTCACAATTGAAAGCGAACAGAACGTGGACCCTTTTTAATAAATAAAAAGAGGATGTGCCATCCGGGCCGGTCCAAAAATTCAACTTATCGATCAAAAAGTTAGATCAAATCAAATTATAATTAAAATTTGATTAATGAAGGGTGAAAGTAGTGTGAAACATACGTCTATTACAGTGTAGTTATGAGTAATTAAATTTGAGTTAAACTGATAACGGGAATAGAGGCTCCCCGGCCAGTTCAGCTAGGACCCGAGTTACCAAAAGCTAAGTGAATAGAGATCAGAAAAAACATACCTCTTCTCATTTAATTTGTTACCATTTTCGGTCCCCTAATTGTTGGGTCAGTTTTTTGTATTGGACTTTTAATATTTTCATTTTTAATTCTCGATTATTGTGCGAGAGACAATTTTAGTCCCTGAATTCAGAGTTTCCCACATCAAGTCCCATAAGTATAAATGAAGGACCAAGTATGAAAATTTTCAAAGAAAATATACCAAAAGTGTCTTTAACGTAATAGTTGGAGACTAAAAGTGGAAAAAATTAAAACCGACTACCAAAAGTATCAAGGACATAATAGTAGGACAAAAAGTGAAAAAAACTCTATTTCTTCTTCTTCTTTACCTATTGCTTCTATGATAATAGATTATTTTATCATTTACTCTCAATTGCATTGACTAAAATGTTGTTAGTTTGCTATAAATGTTGTTGAGTCTAATTGAGTAATAATCAGACAATAATTGCATACTACGTACTAAATTAGGATGGAGCTAGACAATTCGTGTCTGTATAATGAAATATAACTAGAAAGGTTTGAGTTAATCATTGTCTGGGTTCACACTTTTACCGGAAATTCGTGATCTTTGTCAAAAATTCTCTTGAAAAATTCATTATTCACATAAACAAGTAAAATTGGTCACACATAACCTCTATCTGTATATGGAGTATTTATATCTAAAAAAAGGGATAGAAGTTGTTGAAGACATCTATGTATAAAAAAAAGAATGACATCTCATTCTCGAGGACCCCTACATTGACCAGGCAATTAATTGTGAAAAATATAAATTGAACTTTTAATCACAATTTGACAAACGCGATATACATTTTTAACAATAATTGAACCCGAAATTTAGATCAGGTGACATTTCCTATCTAAGAGCTCAACAGTTGTTATGAGAAGATACTAGTTGTCACCGACTCACCATCAAGATATAGTTGTGTGGTACGAGTAATGTATACTCCCTCCGTCCCTTTTTAAATATCCCGTTTTACCATATTGGGATATCCCTACTTAAATGTCTCATATCTTATTTGGTAAAGTTTGTGTGGCTCAAAATCATTCTTAATTTATTCTTACTTTATTCTTACTTTATCAATTAATATAAACCACACAAACCCACTTTTCTTAAAACCCGCGCCACCGGGACATTTAAAAGGGGATGGAGGTAGTAATTGCATAAGTGAGAGGCAAACTCGCGACATAACTCAGTTCGGCATTTGTACTGAGAGTGACGCATGGGTGATTGAATAATCAAAGGTGAGCGGGACAAAATATGTACTTATAATTGTGCCATGTATCTAACGGTGAGTGTCACATCCTCAGTTGTTCGCAGTTGACTTGTTCACATCATATTCATTTAATTTGAATTATTAATTTGCTATTATATGGGTACTTAATTATCAAATTTGGGACATGCAGTTATCAAATTGATTTAGATTTGCAAAATATAAGAAGATTCAATCACATAAATACATATCGTATACGACGAGTTTAGTGAAATCAATGAAATGGAAAAATCAAGAAAGATGGTTGGGTGGAAGAAAGTAAAGCATTCTCTTATTTCTTGGATCCTGACCTATTGATGACCTACAAAGGTGAGATTATTTATATAAGATTTTCAAAAAAGGGTCCAATGAAAGAAGATAGGGTGCAAATGTGAGATTATTCTGGGATTATGTAAAGGTGAGATTATTATGAGAAGACCAGTGAAAGGTGAGATTATTCTTATCAATTTTTGCGTACTTTAATTTACATTCTCTAAATAGTGCACAGTACTAGACACTATATTTCTATAACTAATATAATTAATTGCTCTTAATCCCCCCACCATAACTAGCTAGGAAGTCCCGTACGTGATGGGGCAGTCCGGTGGGAGTCCGTATATCATACCACCGGGTGTATGTGCATCCATCCTAAATTTAATTGAGTTACTTAACTGCAGGCCCATGCATAAAACATCACGGAGATTTGATCCCTAAACATGTGATATAATACGCAGTCTTCCAACCATCTCGCCGACTTCCACTTCTGTTATAATCCGTTCTTTTATCTTGCTTATCTTACATTCTTACATGTTTTCATACTCCACACTACAATTGTTTGTTAATACGTAGTAGTAATTATAATATTAACCATTCTTTGCTTTTGCTCATTATTACTTATTAAAAGACTAATTCATGTTTTTTAAGGTATTCACTAAAGAAAATGTATAGTAAATCAAACAATGTACATTTTTTTTTGTTAGTTGAATTATGCAATATTCCAAACATAAAAAAAGTAAAAGCACTTTTGTGGTTGAATTTATTGAAAAATTCCGCTTTAGCTTATTTCTTCTTTATTTTAGTAATATAAAAGATATTTTACATTATAACTGTTTTCAAAACTCAACAGATTTAATGGTTTCAACCGGTACTTATTAATAGAACTTCACATGTAATATTGAGTTCAAGGTTTTTGGATATTTCCTTTGCACATGTAAGACGATCTGCGAAAAAGGCGACCCATGAGTTTGCACGGGCGGCGTGTTCTATGTCTGATTGTCGTATTTAATTTGGTCCTTAATTCCGCCTTCTTTTATTACTCTTGTATTAAACAATGATTTAATTAATATTAATTAGCTTTTCCTTTGTCCAAAAAAAAAAAGAACTTCAATAGAAATATTGTAATTTTAGTTTCATAACTTTCAGTTGTGCTCGTTATTAATTAGGCTATGTTTGGTGTGCCAGTTCAGCCCATAATGGGCTGAAATTTATTAAATTCAGCTAATAATTTTTTAAGTAGACCTGTTTGGATAAAAGTCTGAACTGAGCTGAAGGTTGAAAAAGTGGGCTGAATTAAAACGTTATTGGACCAAGCGTTTACCTCCAGCCGATTGAATAATCCATTCCGATCCCTAAATTACCCTGCGCGCGTATATATATGGCTTTCTTCGCGGAAAACGGCGCCATCATCGATCCTTTCCTTCAGCTGCGTTAAACATCCCTTCAAAACCAAAATTCTTCACCTTGATTCACTGGTGTGAGGTATGGTTCATCCTTCTCGCTGATTCTCCTTCTCAGGTTTCTTCTTCTTTTTCTTCTTCTCAGGTTTCTTCTTCTTTTTCTGAGGTTCACAATCAGTAGCTGCAACTAGTAACGACTTGATATGATTTTTTTTCTTATCTTGACTAATCTTACCAGATTCCTGTTATCATTCATGAACAAATTAGTTCCCCTTTGTGATAGAACTGAAAACGGGGTCATGTGCTTGCCTGGTTACCTCAGTCATGAAAAAAGATGATTATAGGTAAACGATAACATGAACTCATATACATAAATATCCCTTAAGATGGTATTTTCATGTAAAAAGTCTTAAGCACTTTTAAAATAGATAACAGGAAAAGATGCACAAATTACCTCAGCCCCAAATGTAAGTGTTTTAAAATTTAAATTGTTTTCAGATGTTTTCTAGATTTAAATTCTGCGTGTATCACGATTCTTATTTTTTTTTCAGTTTTGCTTCATCTTTATTTGTTCGGGGCAACATCGTTTTGTACATATACAATTTCAAGTTCCTAACATGCTATTCTAATTTCTATATCTATCCCATCCTGTTTATACATGATTATTCATACGGCGTATTAAATTAGTATTTGTTCTTGCATATTTAAGTTTCTTTGTGTTCACTCTTATCTGCATCGGTTGGCTTGGCTTATAATTAAGTTACTTTAATTTTGTCTTCAGTTACTTTTTAAGTCTGCATGTTTTATTCTTTTGCACATTAAAGTCTGCCAATATGATAATCCATTAATCTTCATATGTAGTGCACACGTTTCTGGCTTTTGTGTTGTTTCCTTTTCTTTTTAATATTTGTTCATTACCACCACACTTGCTTTGGTAATTACGTAGTATTGTTTAGGATAAATCAAAATACAATCACTTAAACTATAGCATTCATGTTCTCTGTTTATGATAAATCAGAGAAGGTATTTTGATTTAACTCTTTTATGTATACGTGTGTTTCATCATTTATGTATAAACATATGAAAGTGTATTAAGTATTGTAAACTATACCCGTACATAAACTATAAAGTGATAATATCCACTACACTACAAGTCAGAATGTAAGTTTAAGAAATTAATTTGCATACTGCTTTTTTGGTTCTCAACAAGTACTGTAATTTTCCTCATCTGACAAATTATGTGACTGGAGAGCTGAATATGGTGTGCCTGCATCAAAGAGTGCCGATGGGGACTGTTTGGTTTCAGTGGTCTCACACTTCCCCCTGGCGTAACTGCAATAGATTGTGTGAATTCAGAAGAGAACTCACAAGTATATAAATAATGTTCCACAGCCAACATCAGCCAAAATAGTAAAAATAAAACAAAACATTAACTCTAAACTTGGGTTACCTTTAGAAGTAGGCTAGTCGGGTCTTCTAACTTGGGCGATGGTAGACACCTGAGGGCTATTTTGAGGTTTAGGATGTTAATGCTAATAAGATAATTGAATACAAATGCTAAAGTTTTGTCTGTCTCTATTTAACTAAGAACCTTATAGTTTCATTTGGGTTTGAAACAGCATATGTGTATACCTAATCACCTAACTATATCTATAATGCAAATTTCTCATTTTGCATTTGCTATATTGCTGATTGAGCCTTTCAGATGTCGTCTAAGAAAGAAGATGGAGGATATTTTATTTGGTCCGATGAAACGATCGGAATTTTTAATGACATATGCATTCAGTTCATTCTTAAGAATGGGAGGGGACAACAATTTAGGTGGAAGGAGATGCAAGCTTTGTTTGAAGAGAGAACAAAAAGGAAATGTTCTTTTAAAAGCTTGAAAAATAAGTTTGATTTTATGAAAAAGGAATGGCGATTATGGAAATTATTGAAGCGTGACGAGACTGGTTTGGGTTGGAATGCAGCCACTGGCACGCTGGATTGTTCAGATGAATGGTGGGGTAAAAAAATTAAGGTATATATGGTAGTTTGTACAATTTATTAACTTAGAATTTAAACATACTAGAATATTTGACTTTTAAAGAAAAAAATCTACAGGAAAAAGCAGAAGTTAAGAAGTTCAGGCATAAAGGAGTTTTGCCGCATATTGAAGAGCAGTGGGATCAAATATTTGGGGACTCAGTAGCCACTGGAGTAGAATGTGTGGCTCCAACGGCTACAATTTTGGAGAATGACAATCAAGAAAATCACCAAGACACTGTCACCTTGGAGGATAACACTGATACTTACGAGGTATTTAACAGATATAATGCTGAACCAGATTTGGAAAACTTTTTTCAAGATTTTATGAACGAGGCTAGTGGGAATATGCCTTCTGCTCCTACAATTACCACTGTTGAAGACGCAGGGACCGGTGCCACTAGTAAGAAGCGCAAACTAAGGCAGTCTAAGGGATCGGTGAAACTAAGTGAAAATTTAGAGAGGGGGAATACATGTCTTCAAGCAATTGAACGCCTCTTGACTAAAAAGGAGAAGGTTGATGATGATTGTGTTAGTGTTGGTGATGTCATGGTAATTATGACAAGAATGGCTGAGAATGGTGGGCTGGTGAGGAGTGGTGACTTGTGGTTTCACAGCATTTGTGTTCTCGACAGTCTTAGTAGAAGACAATTCTTCATGAATTTTAAAGATGACGATGAAAGGCTCGACTGGCTGAAGTTTATGCACGCAAAAGGAATATTTTAAATACATTTAGTATGCTATTTTGACATAAACATTTGCAATGTTATGTCACCAGTAACATTTAGGATACGAATTTATTTATTTAGGTTGGATGTTTGATTTTAATTTTTATATGTTGAGATTCATGGGATTTGTTTTTCTAAGAATAGTATGCTTATATTATTATTATATACATTTTTTATTTATTTATTTATTTATAGGGATATCATGAGCCATGATGACGATGATGATGAGTTTCTGCTTCATATTATGGTTGGAATTACTATTCATGATAGAAATGCTATTATTGCTTCCCATTATTACAAGCATATGTATAAGGAGCCTTGCATGACATCAGCTTTAAGCGGGGAGGCTTGGATGAAAGAGGTGTTAAATGGTCATCCTATTCGTTGTGTTAATGCCTTTAGGATGTCTCCAAATTTATTTGCACGCCTTTGTAAGGATTTGCAATTAAAATACGGTTTAACATCAAGTGACAAAATTACAATTGAAGAAAAAGTAGGTATATTTATATACACTTTAGCTTTGGGGCTCTCAAACCGGGATGTGGCTGAGAGGTTCCAAAGATCTGGAGAAACGGTAAGTCGAGCATTTCATGATGTCTTAGAATCCATCGCTGGTAGGAGTACGGGATACAAGGGACTTGCTCGTGACATGATTGCACCGATTGATCGGGCCTTTCCGTATGTCCCTTATCACATCTCAAAGGATAAAAGATATATGCCTTATTTCAAGGATTGCATCGGGTGTATTGATGGAACACACGTAGCAGCGTGCATCCCAGTAAAGGAACAACTTCGATATAGGGGAAGAAAAGGTGTCCCAACCTTTAATGTTATGGCTGTGTGTGATTTCACCATGTGTTTTACATTTTTATCGGTAGGGTGGGAGGGATCGGCCCATGATACACGTGTATTCCTTCATGCTATTGAGACACCCTTGTTGAACTTTCCACATCCACCTGAAGGTATGTTTTGTTGTCAATTTGTTAGATTCATATACATTATTTTTATCATATTTCTAAAATTTATGTAGGTCGATATTATTTGGTGGATAAAGGCTATCCAGATCGAAAAGGTTATCTCGTTCCTTATCCCAAGCTACGATACCACTTGGAACAATTTGAAAATGAAGCACCAACAAATGCTCAAGAAGCTTTCAATCGCTCACACTCATCTCTTCGTAGTTGCATAGAGCGTTCTTTTGGTGTTTTGAAAAAGAGGTGGAAAATTTTATCAAGAATGCCTATGTTTAGCGTTAAAACGCAGATAGACGTTATTATGGCAACATTTGCTTTGCACAATTATATTCGCAAATTCTCCAGCGATGACTTGATATTTGAGGTTCTCGAGCACCATCCAGACTTCATACCACGTGATGATCTTGTTGATATTCAAAACTCAAATTCAAGTACCACCAGTTCACAAACACAAAGTTGCAGTGAGATGAAGGAACTTCGCAACAATATAGCATCCTTGATATGGGCTAACAGACATTAGATATTTTCACTCTGATTAGTCGATTATGACGATGTTTATGTTTGCATATTTATCTATTGCAGTTATTTCCAACTAAAATGTTAACTTTATGATTTTTTATTTCTAGTCGCGTACTCGAATGTTGTGGATTTTTTGAAATCAATGCACTATGTTGTGTGTATATTATATTATATTATATTATATTATATTATATTATATTATATTATATTATATTATATTATATTATATTATATTATATTATATTATATTATATTATATTATATTATATTATATTATATTATATTATATTATATTATATTATAATATATTATATTATATTATATTATATTATATTATATTATATTATATTATATTATATTATATTATATTATATTATATTATATTATATTATATTATATTATATTATATTATATTATATTATATTATATTATATTATACTATACTATACTATACTATACTATACTATACTATACTATACTATACTATACTATACTATACTATACTATACTATACTATACTATACTATACTATACTATACTATACTATACTATACTATACTATACTATACTATACTATACTATACTATACTATACTATACTATACTATACTATACTATACTATACTATACTATACTATACTATACTATACTATACTATACTATACTATACTATACTATATGATAAGTCCGTATTTAGACACGTATTTGATGCGTGTTGAGATTGGATTTTGATGGTTTTCCTAGCTTTAAGGTGTTACAAGTCTCAATTTTAGCTCAAGTTATGTTTACCGGGCGTTGGTTCGAGTTTTGTGTTGTTTGTAGTCAAAATCAGGGAATTTGAGCCCGGCACTGGCACTTGAGGAACAATCGGGATGATTTTAGAAGCATTTGAGAATGATTTGATAGCTTTGGAGGTCACCGGAAGATTCACAATGAAGATTTGAAGGAAAAAGAGCTCTAGGATTGGCTACGGGGTCAAAAGAAGATGAATGAAGCTTGAAAACAACGATCAGGATGACCTTCTGTCAATCGTTCAATCATATCTCTTTGTAGAAACAACCAATGTACACGATTCAAGTTCCATATGAAAGCCAACTTCAAGGGCTACAAATCATATGAAGACATCATTCCGAGAATCTGAGAGGATCAAGGTGAAAACAGATGATGAAGTCAGATGATCTCTGCTGCGATTTCAGAATGACACCTTCCACCATTTTAGTCATATCTCTTGATTGGATGATTCAAATCACATTCGGCAAATTGGGGTGGATAGAGGACTTCATCATCTACAACTTTCATGAAGGAAGTTTTGTCAAATTCGGAATAGAAAAAAGGCTGAAGAGCACGGACGCACGACCGTGCGTAAAAGGACGCACGATCGTGCGTAAGAGCCAACAACGCGGCAACTAATCTGCCTGCTACGCACGATCGTGCGTGGCAAGGTACGCACGATCGTGCGTACACCCGAGACGCGGATTTCAGCCCTTTTTTAGTCCCAGTTCAGCCCAAACTCATCTGTTTTCTATAAATAAGACCCCCATACCCATATTTTGACGTTACGAACATTACGGAGAGGCCTAGGGACGAATTTAACACCGTTTTTTACGCTATTTTCTTCCAAGACCCTGGGATTATTTGTAAGTTCATCTTTTTAATTAATGACAATTTATTCTATTCATCTCAATTCTGTTGATTCTTCAATTATGAATTGTGAGTAGTTTAATTAGGGATTTGGGGTTGATGAAGGGGTTAATCATGATGTATGGCTAGATTCTTGACGGTTTAATTGCATGAATGCCGTTTAATTTGTGTTTGAATAATTTAATTGATATCTCTTGTAACCTAGACTGCAGCTAGAATTACAATTGCATGTAGAATGAATTAAGAGAGATCTAATTTGTTCTAGGACACATTCACACACACTTAATCGTTCGCTAAGAGATTAGTAGCGATTAAGGGGCCGTAAGCTCGCTCGTCTTGGCAATAATTTAGGATCCTGTCGCATGAGAGATCAGCCTGGTCTCCTAAATTATTGTACTCTACGCCGCGAGAGCGGTAAGAACTTAGTAATGATTAGCTAGGCTCAATTAAATTAAATTCATGTATTAGGCCTGATCTGCCAGAAATCTGGTTACCCCGGAATCAATTCCTATTCCCTTCGTCGTTAATTGAGAAGAAACCACTTTTATTTTAATCGTTCAATTCGCATTAGTTTAATTTTAATTCACCAATCAAATCTCGCACACTTGCATTTATTTATTTTATTTCTTTTTAATCGCTGAATTTAGTTAATCTTTAATTCCCTTTTGTCCGTCCCTGTGGAGACGATACTCGTACTTTCAACCACTATTCTACAATCTTTTTAAGTGCGAGAAAACGCACATCAGTTTTTGGCGCCGTTGCCGGGGACGGTGTCGGTTTTAAGGGTTAATTAATTTCAGCGAGATTTTTTTTAGTTAGTTTTCTTTTTGTTCTTCGTAGGATTTTTCTGTGCTAACCTTTCAGGTAATTTCTAAGAGGCATGAGATGAACCCATTCAGCCAAATTCCTGGAGGAATTCCTTACCCTCAAACCTCCATGGAATATTCACCATATACGTCATACCCTCCTTACACTCCTCCTCCTCCTCCTCCTCCTCCTCCTCCTCAATATTACTCACCTCATCAAAATTATTCTCCAACACCACAAAAGTTTCCATCTTCCTATTCTTACCCTCTTCCAAATACGCAATACTCCCAATCTCATTCTCCTAATCAGTATCCTTATCCACAATATCCTCGGACAAAACCAGGCTCCATAATGGAATTTCTCATTCAAACTAAAAGTCCCGAGGAATTGGTTGATTACTTTCCTAAAAATAGCATTTGTAACTTCTGTGGAGGTGGTCACCATTCATGTCTTTGCCCCATTCCTCCATACGACCATCCTTACTGGGCAACTGCATACCCCACTTCTTCCTCCCCACAATTTACGGACACAAATGTTTCAGCCACTCCTACATACTTCCCGAGTAATGAGTCTCATAATCAACAAGAGGATCTAGAGGAGGCAGATTTAAAGAGGCTTTCTTACTTGGAAGAGGGAATCATGCAACTCACAGCCAGAATGCAGAATTTCAGTAATCAATTGGATCAGCTGTTTAACGCCCTATCTGAGGAGTCCGAGAGATCCCATCCTAGCGACACAAAAGCCCAACCTGAGGAGACCAATAGGGATGATCATGTGAGTAAGTCGGACTGCGAAGGTGGGAATATGATGGATGATACACTTCCTGATGCTTTTGAAGACTCTCCTATGTTTGAAGATGAAGAAGAAGATAATAGTGTCAAGTTGTTTTTCCGAGAATACAGGAAAAAGTTCGAAACGGTACAAGCTGTAACTGATGAAGTCACAAATCATTGTGATTTTCATACAGAAACTCCCCAGCCGTTTGATTTACCATTAGTCTCAACACCTGATGAGGGAAAGGAGCAGATCAGTCATGATGATGGAGCTACTGAGGTAGGTTTGGGTATTGAAGATGAGTTGGGAAAAGATGATTACATGCTCCAAGAGAGTGGGGGCGAGGTAGATGATGTCCATAATGAAGAAGTCCCGCTCCACAAGCAAGATTACCCTTCTTGTACACCTGTACCGATCCACTCTTACGTGGTTTCAGATTTGGATTTCTTTGGTTCACTACTTGATGATATTTCTTTTTGTACGGAGAGTGACAACATCATCCAAGAAGACCCTGATGAGAACGATGTTAACGAGAGTTGGGATGCCTTCATGGGGAGTGATACAGAGTCCGGAGGAGAGGTTGTGAATGTAGATGATATTTGTGAGGAAGAAGAAGACTTTTCTATGTTGCAGTATGATTACGGTGTTGCTCCTACTCCTTGCTTGGAGACATGTTTTGAGCTTCCGGTGATGCCTAGAGTAATCAAAGTTTTCACTCATGTTCCCTATCCACCTGAAGAGGATGAGAGTTTCATACTTCACTTCTGTGCTGATGAGGGTTATGAAGACCATATGCTACCTTCGTGGACTGAAGAATTTAAGAATTTGCGCCATCTAATGGCATTTGTTGAGAGGAAGCTGGAGATGTTGACTATTAGTGCACCACTGATGTCTGTGCTATTTGAGAGCCTATGAGGAAGTTGCGTCGGGCAAACGACGTTAAAAATAGCGCTTCTTGGGAGGCAACCCAAGCTTATTTCTGCATTTTTTTGTTTGTTTGCTTGTTTGCTTTCAGAAAACACCAAAAAAAAAAAACAGAAAAAAAACCGGGGTGTTTTTTGGGTTTGTTTTTGTGCTTGTGTATTTTGTTTTTGCAGCTCAGGGTCTTGCTTTGGGGATGATGTGCCGAGGATCATTGACTCAATTTAGTTCTGCACCGACCAGCGCTATAGGGAAGTTTCTTTGACTCTTTTACTCGCTTGTTGAAATATTGACTTGAGTTAAGTTGAGCATGTGTGACCCTATCCTCTTTACCCCCTTGTGCATAGTGCATTTTTGGTCATCGAGGACGATGCCAAAATTTAAGTGTGTGGGAGTGAATTGGGCATTCGGGCAGTAGTTGCTACATGTGATTTTTAGAGTTAGCATGCGCAGGTGTTAGTTGAATATTCAGAGGAAATTCATGCAAAATTTTTTGAAAATTTTTCTTTAAACTGTGACTTTGTAAGCTGGCTAGCGCTTTGACTATGCTTTTATGACATTCTTGAAGTGTTTAGGCTTAAATTGCTTGCACGGTAATCTAGTTGTTGAAAGGATGAAGGCATTAGTCACCCATTGAATTTTTCAATAATCATCCACCCCACCTGAAAGAACCCTTTAGGAGAAGCCATTTTGAGCCTGATTGTTCTTTGTTACCCAATTAATTGAGCTCCATAGCCAAATGACCTGTGTTCCTTACCCGTGAATATTTCTGACTTAGTCTTAATGTTTAGGGAACTAAGGGATTAATTTGCTAAGTTTAGGGAATTTGTGTAGGAGCCACTTTGGCACTGTTCCTATGCCCCAAATGGGGTAAGAACAGTTACTTTTTAGGAATATGATACTTTCGAGGATTGCATTGTAGGCATGGATTCATTTTGAAATTAATGAACTTAAATTGCTATTTTTCCTTGGTGAGGCCGAGATTAGAATGGGGTAATGTCTAGTGAGAATCCGAAAGGT